AGAATAAGTCTGGCAGACTGGGGAGAGAAGTTGGTGGCTGTGTGGATGGATGCAGTCAGCCCACGGGTTGCTGTTTGGTCCAACAAGAAGCTAGGATAATTACTCTGCTGGCAAGTCTGATAGATCTTCCTTCTGAGCCATGGCAATGGAGGAAAAAAAGGAAAGGTAGAGAAGACCTTGAGACCAAGGAATGAGGAAGGCATCCTTGTCACCAGCCCTGGAGCAGAACTTGTGGGCACTGTTGTACCTGTTTACAACAAACGGGTCTAGATCAGTGTTTCTCAACTTTTTGAGACCAAGGACTGGCTTGCCACCTTCCTAAACTTACTCTGTCACAAGGAGTTATCTGCTAGGCTTGAGAACAAGTCTCCAGTAACCATTAATGGCTGGCTGAGTAGTGTCTGGTGAAGAAATCTGTTCCACTGTTTGTTCCTGGTAGGTGACATGCCATGGAGCTAAGATGTGTGAAGGTCGAACCACCCTCACAGGAAGATTGCTTCCTGACAAGTTGGGGAGGAGGGACAAGTTGGCACCCCCACCTGTGGATATACATTGTAGAGGTGCTGTCTGTCAGATCTGTACAGTAGTTCCTTCCAGTAGCAGTACAAAAGCTCTGCAGGGTAGTCCACTTGTATGGAATTACAGCACACTGAAATGGATTGAGGATTTTTTTCCAAAATTACATGTATTGAACTTGCAGGTGGTTTAGATGGGCCTCTCCAACCTGCCATGGATGCATCTGTAATCAGTGTTCCAGTTTGAGGTAAGGTACAGATTACAGAATGGTACCCCTTGCACACCATCAAGGTCATCATTCAGTTTAGGGAAACTGGTACTCCTACTTGGACCATGAAGTGAGTGTCCATACACTGTTTGATGGGTTTGTAAACAGACCTCAACCAGCCTTGGGGAGAGTGGAGGGGAGGTCTGTCAAAAGTCATCATGTAAGTGCACTGTATGTTTGTGTAGTCATCTCAGGTCCAGCACAAGATGCATCCCTTGTTCTTTTGGGGATATAAGTACCAGGAATAGAAATCTTTCCCTCTGAACTCCTGAGCACTTATGTTGTAAGGATTCTACATCAACAATCCCTCAGTTTGTCATGCAAGGTGGGTCCCTTAAGAAGATCAGGGAACTAGGGAGGTGAGTGGCCAGGAGTGGAACTGGAGATTAAAGGAGATGTATGTTATCCACTGGTCTGTAGCAATCCCAGACCATGGGTGAGAAAAATGGGAAATGCAGGAACCAAAAATGGGGTAGACATAGGATGCTCTAGTTGGACTGATACATAGCTCTGAACCCAACTGAGAAACCAGCTGCTGGGAAGGGAGGGGGCTATCTGAGGGAAAAGTGAGACTTTGAATAATCAGCACCATCTGGTGCCAATGGGAGAAAGTTCTGTCTGAACTAGCCGGGATACATGACATGTTTTCTCCTGAAAGCAGGCCCTGTGCTCCTTTAGGGTACATAAGTCATTCTTGCAGGAGCTAATAGCTTGTCATTCAATGAAAAGATTGTTGATAGTTGTTTGGACTTCTCTAGAATCCCTGTGGATTGTAAACAGGATGCCCTTATTGTGGTGATGGCTGTAGTCATGGAATGGGCTGTTTTAATCTGAGAGATACATGGCTAAAGCCAGGCCCAAAAAAACCCAGAAAACAACTGTTTGCCTCTCCTGCAACTCCATAAAAAAGGTTTTGTTCAGATCAAACCAAATTCAAAAATTACAGGTTTTTTGGTGAGGTCAGAAGTCTTATGGGTAAACGGAATATGCTATTTGACCCCAAATCATTTGTTTCCAGGCACTTTTAGAGGATTTGATTGACAAAAAGGCTAGAAGAGGTAATGGTTGTGGTGCCCACCTTATAATTTAGCCCAGTGGTTGGGGCCCTGGAGTAGGGATTTAAACCCAGGTCTTTCCCCTACCCGTTCATAGAATCTCAGGGTTGGAAGGGACCTCATGAGGTCATCTAGTCCAACCCCCTGCTCAAAGCAGGAGCTATCCCCAACTAAATCATCCCAGCCAGGGCTTTGTCAAGTCTGACCTTAAAAACCTCTAAGGAAGGAGACTTCACCACACCACCTCCCTAGGTAACGCATTCCAGTGCTTCACCACCCTTCTAGTGAAAAAGTTTTTCCTAATATCCAACCTAAACTTCCCCCACTGCAACTTGAGACCATTACTCCTTGTTCTGTCTTCTAGTACCACTGAACAGCCTAGGTTCATCCTCTTTGGAACCCCCTTTCAGGCAGTTGAAAGCAGCTACCAAATACTCCCTCATTCTTCTCTTCTGCAGACTAAACAATCCCAGGTCCCTTCAAGGTGAGTGACCCAACCACCAAGCTATAGGGCATTCTATGGGGCTCTCACCATCTCCTATTGAATCTATTCTACCTTATAGAAAATGGAACAGTAACAGGACGAGAGAAAGTGACTATAGCCTGGTGGTTAGCGCACTCACCTGGGATGGTGAGGCCCAACTTCAAGTCCCTGCTCCAGAGAGAGGATTCAAACCAAGCTGAGTGCCCTGACCATTGGGACAAAGGGAATCATCAATATCTACGTGACTGTAACCTCAGAGTTTTGGTGAAGCTACCTGGCAAATTTGCATCAGATTTGCCAATACTGTCAAGTTGACTGGAACTACATATTTTTAGCAAATAAACTCTTCATCTAAAAAGTTTCACCCAGCTCTACCCAGAGGTGCTTGGAACAGGGTTCAGCTACTAATAGTTTCCTAAATGATGGATCTCAGATTTCTGTGGGAGCTTGTCAAGGATGACACTTCTCTGCCAGGTTGAACAGTCATTTATGGCTTGACTAGTGGCCATCTGCAGTTGAAGCGATACTGAGTAGGTCTTTTTGATTAAAAGATCTCTTGGAGGGGTGTTATTAGGGATGGCTTTAGGCGGTCCTAGCCTGGATTTCTCTTGTGCTGCAGATACCACTAGCAAGCCAGAAGCTGGATGCAGACAAAATATTCAAGTTGCTCGAGGGACTTGGTCTCTTGTCCGTTTCAGCACTGAAGGTATAGCAGGAGTCTGCCACAGGTTTAGCAGGGTCTAGATCACCTTCATTTGACACTGCCAATGTGCCTGGAAGGTATAACATCCTCCATTCTAATTATGTGCTTCTTCTTGCACTACAGATAATTGTGTCCAGAGTGTCTGCAATCCTTCCCAGCAACTCCTGGAAGGGTTTGAAGTGGTCAGATGGCATTGGAGCAAGTAACTCTGTAAAACTAACATGTAATTCAGTGAAAAGGAAGATGGATTCTTAGGAGTAGTCAGCTGAGAGGGATTGAAAGGATTCTCCTTTCTATCCTTCCTCCTGAGCCTTGGCCTCCACTTTTTCTTGCAGTACCTTGAGAGATCTACTTGGTGATCAAACACAGCACCTAGTGGGAAAGGGGTCATTTGCAAGAGGAGCAAAAGCAGCTCCAACAGTGTCCAGATGGGCCCCCAGAATGTCCAATGAGGCAAGGGTGGGAAGCTGAAGGGATTAGATTGAGGAGACCCTGATGCCCAAGGTGATGTCTGCTAAGGGATGTCAACATGCTTTCGGGGATTTAGGAGCCTGAGTTAACCCCTGAAGTTGGCTGGCATGATTGAGGGTGAGCTGTAAATTGCCCTACATCATGAAAACCTGGATGGAGGGGGATGTCTGGTGAAGGGTCTGATTCTGCAGAGAGTGTGTAGGAGAATACGAACAGCAAATCTGTTCTAGGGATTAGTGCTGACCTCAGTGGTAGGACAGGTGAATACGGTACCAAAAAAGATTAATTTTTGGTGGCATTCGTACTGGGGTTGGTGCCAGGGGTGAAATGTCAATTGTAAGATGTCTGCCAGTAGCATAAGAACCCTGGAAACAGTACCAGACCAAACATGAGGGAGTCTGACCCACTGAGGACTTTGCAATACCCTGTGGAACTGAGTAAGGTAAAGAACCCTGGACAGGCTAGGAAGCTGATCATCAGGCTCTGTGCTCAGTTTAGAATAATACAGCACTGAGTTGCCCTTACAGCACTGCTCAACTCTGCCCTGGCTGGATGCATCGGAGGCAATAGAAAACCCCTGAACTAATATAGTGTTAGTATTTACAAAATTGATTTAAAAAGATATTACAGGGTACCAGGCAGACACCACTGAGTTTCATCTCCCTGCCACTGGTAAGAGCAACCAAAAGGCGGTTGGGGCTGCTCTGCCTAATATGCCCTCAGGAGGGGGGCAGAGAGACAGGCAGTACATCAGCATTGTCTGAGGTAGTGCCTGTCAGAAGATTCTAATCTTGGAAGTTTGATGAGCATGGGCACCATAAGCAGGATCCACATGGAGAAAGACAGACCTGAAGTTTAGTTTCATCTTTCTTGAAACCAGGCTTGGTTGTCTAACAGCTATGGCTGAGCAAAGTAGCAGCTTGAAAATACAGGTAATGGAGTAGATTTGATAACATCTTGCAATAATCACTGCAGATATTCACAGCAAGTCAGCATGAAGGCACGTGCTGAACATTCAGGAAAACTCATGATTCTGACCTTGATTTTTGTAATATCCTACTCCCAACTACCCACTCTGTGGTTTGTCTAGAAGCCATTTGGAGAGATCTTACATCTGCAAAGCAACAAGTGCAATGCCAGCTATAAGACTAATTGAACAGGTATCTCTGCAAATATTCAGAGACTCGGTAGTGGTGCTGAAACTTTTCCTGTCATGTGCCCCACCCCCTGTAATAGAATCTGTCTGTGTCCCCCTTTACTGCACAGTTGGCTCAGCAGCAGCCAGGGCCACACTGCATGCTCCCCCACCCCCCAGTGTTCCTCCACACTTTGGGGACCACTGCTCTAAAAGAATAAGCCAAGCGTTCATCCAACTCTATAAACCAGCTTAGAGCAATTGAAATCTAGCTGGATAGCACTGGTTGAGTTTAGATGTATGAAGTTTCTGGACAACACAGAAACATCTCAAGCTTGTGAGTGTAGGTCTTTCAGCTAGATCTTTACCTTGTAAATGTAGAATGGTCTTTTTGATCCAAGACAATAATGATGTCTCCTGGCTCTAGTCCTGGTTCTTGGTCCCCTTCCCCATGGAATGTTATCTTCTGACCATCCTTCATTCCTATTGCAAAGGCACATGTAATTAGAATTGAAATAGCTACAGTACAAAAATAGTATCACTTTAGCAGGCTGTAACTTGTGCTACAAAACAGTTGGAATTGGTAGGTTCTGATATTGCATTTACTTCCCCCTGTCCCCCTCAAAGCACTACACATGACTAACCAGCTACATTTCCAGAGCCCTGCATGAAGGCAATCTAGGCTATGGCAGCATATTGAACTGCTGGGCCCTCTCAGCTAGTTGTCAAGCAGCCCAATTCTAGTCAGGATTGCCACCTATAAAGGTCATTCCTTGATGAAAGCAGAAGAATAGCTGAGATGACTACTTACCACCATCACAGTCCCAAGTGGTTTGCTTAAAGCCTCCTTGTATTTCCACCTACTGGCTGTTTTGTACATAGCTGCTGCAGAGCTACTGGGGTTAAGCATGATTTTGAAGCTGCAAGTATGTAAATAGGAAATCCTCTTCATAAGACCTCCAGTTCTCTCACATCAAAAAGCTACTACTACACAACCAGGCAGGTCTTTCCTTTTGGGGCTAACACCCGGCTTCTCTGATTTAGTTATCTAAGTCTCCTCATTTCAAGACTGGTGGAATAGTCTCTTGATCACAGAGCACCCACGGGGGAGGGGGTGAATATATATATAGTAGAAAGAAAAGGAGTACTTGTGGCACCTTAGAGACTAACCAATTTATTTGGTGCCACAAGTACTCCTTTTCTTTTTGCGAATACAGACCAACACGGCTGCTACTCTGAAACCTATATATAGTAGGTGCTCAGCACTCACCAGCTGCCAGATCACCTCCCTCCCACCCACCATGCTTCAGCTTTTGACAACAAGGAGCACTGGAGGAAGGAGGAGGAGCGGGCAGAACAGGGTGGGAATAGGAGTGGTGGGGGCAGGGCCTGAGCACCTCCACCAAACCCCCAGGGAAACCATGCTTTTGGTATCTGCTTGTCCAGCTGCTAGGTCAATGGGAAGGAGCAGGATATAAGTAAACAAGTAGTCTTTGAAGTGTCTACAAAACAATGCATGGAGATGTATATGCCTGAAAAAAGCTCTGTGTAAACGTGAAAGCCTGTCTCACCCTCTCAGAAGTTGGTCCATTAAGATATTACCTCACCTACCTTGTCTCAGTGCATGGACTGAGAGTCTAGAAACAATAGTCAAACACAGAAAAGAATTGTAATCAAGTGCAAGGAAGTGGAATCCTACAGTAATTTAAGCTTGTGTTTTAGGACTTAGTAAACTAGTATGAACACCCAGCTGAGTTGACAGCAAACAGCCAAATTGTAAAGCTATGGCAACAGTGTAGAGATTAAGGATAGTATTGTCAAAAGGCATGCAACTCCCTTAGGCACTAAGGAAAAGCACTCTGCACCCTGGAGGCCTGCATACTTCAACCATGTTAATCAGGACATATTTAGGTCTGAATCATTCAAGATGAAGATACTAGATCCTGGAAGTGTTGCATGTACCTTACTGCCAACTTCTGCTCTCCTCCTCCCCACCTGTAACTGTGGCTTCAATATTCTCCCTCCTTTAAAATTCTAGGCATATTACAGAGACTTCAAGTGTAGATGTAGAATGAAATTACTGGGAGGGTTGGGCACTTCAGCCAGTTGGGGTGTGCTGCATGCTTGTCAAACTGTTAACATCTGACTGCCCAAATTCTTCCACAGCCAGTACTGATCAGCTTTTGACAAGGCCTATTCAGCAATAGAAGCTTCTTGCATCTGCTGCACAATATGGCCTTTCCCCATCCCCTACCTCTGAAAAGAGTTGTTTGTAGTGAACTCTGCTGGTTGGCTTGAACAATATCTGGCAAAGTTAATGTAGGTCAGTAGCACCTGGAGCAAGACTGTTACGATGGCTTAATAGATTGAGTTCTAAGCATTACAGACTTAAAATTGTTTTTACACCACAACTTTAGCAGATCTGTTCTTACCGAGATACAGCAGAATGACCAGGATTTGTGCAAACCTCAAGACTAGTGGAAACATCATACTCTTGGGGGAATTCTGCACCACCCCCACAAATTTATTTGCTTCCCCACGGAAGTGACAGGGAAGCAAACAGAAGCTGCAAAAATGAACACATGCCAGTGGGGCTTCTGGTGTCTGGAGCAGCCAGTAGAGAGGTAAGTCTACATGGGGGGCATAGGGCTGGGGATGCTCATGGCGCACTTTGGGGAGGCATACAGGGTCATGTGCCACTGTTTCCCCCCCCCCCCCTCCCCATTTCTGCATGCACACAGAGCTGCCCAGGTGAAAAAGAGGGTTCCACAAAGGCTAGCTGACACTGCAGCTGGACACTGCCTCTGGGTCCTAGCGCCAGTCAAGCCCCCCTTCTCTGTGCTGGGAGCCATCCTGTTTCTGTACAATGGTGAATGCCTGCAGCAGGGCACAGGTGGGAGAAAAAGGTAACGAGGGGAGGGGAAACGGAAGAAGCAGCCTTACATGCAGTATCCCCCTGGCAGCAGCAGCCCCCTTCCCCACTTTCACCTGGACCCCCTTGCAGAGCCCCATTGCCTGTGCAGCGCCAACAAGCCTATGTGAATCCAGATCCCCCACTGAGTCGCCAGCACTAAAACTGCTCCATGCTAAACCCTCCAAATATTGATCCTGCTGGGCTGAGCCTGCCTGCCTAGACCTGGCGCAGAGAGGCAGGGCCCCAGGGTGTTCCTGGGGCAGGCCCAGCTCTTGCACTGTGTCAGGGTCAAGTGCAGCCTCACTGCTGAGTCCCTGTCTGGGAGGGGGAAGGAAAGGAGAGAAAATGGGGACTGCAGGACGATCTCCCACCTCCATGCAGCCAGGCGGCTGTGTTCCCCACTGCCATGCTGGAGCCTCCGTATTTATTTATTGAGGATTTTAAAATATTGTCCACAGAATTCCTGAAGGGGTAATACTAAAGCAACTTAACTCATCACCAAGCGTTCCACTTGCTTGATTTTAACCAGTGTCAGTAATTAGTCAGCATTCTGGCATATTAGTCTGCTTGTCAGTTTCTCTTCACCATGAATCAATCCAGTTTGCATATCCAGTAATCAATATGCAACTAACATGGCACTAGGTGTAGTCAAGTTAATGCTTACTAAAGAAGTGAGCAGTAATTTCCACCATTAGCCATCAAGCTGTGTGTATCTGAAGCCAAGTCTACCCTTTAGAGCTCTGCGCAGGTTTTATCATTTAACAGTAAGCTATATGCGCTATTATTGCTACACATTTTAACATGGATGTAACACTGCCACTGGGTAAAAGCTCTTTTTCAATTACTGAAATTTGTATCATGCAAATCCAAGGTTAATACAAATCTATTTAGAGCAGGGGTTCCCAGACTTTTGTACTGGTAACCCCTTTCACATACCAAGCCTCTGAGTACAACCCCTCCCCATACATTAAAAACACTTGATATAGTTAACACCATTAAAATGCTGGAGGGGGGGGGGGGGCTGACAGCTCACAAACCCCCATGTAATAACCTCGTGACCCCTGCGGGGCCCCAACCCCCAGTTTGAGTACCCGTGATCAAGATATTACAAAAATCAGCCAAGTTCTCCTTGAAGACATTACCTTTATCAATATGAACTTCTAGAATCTTCTTCTCTCGAACAATCTTCCTTCCAATGCAGCTTTTACACCTGTCCTTAGGACTGATACGCTCCCCATGTCCCTGGCATTCCATGCACACAGACTGGATTTGCTGAACCATTCCTGGTCCTATCTGGTGAATTCGTATTTGCATGCCTGTACCTCTGCAATTGGGACAGCATTCTACTGCACCTTTCTTACCACCTCGGCCTGATGACAAGACAGCAAAGTCTAATTAGAATTGATTGTGTTTTCTCTCTAAAAAGGAACTTAAAACTAGAAGTACGTTTACAATTTACCTAGAAATAGAGTTAAGTTCATCTAAATCCAGGGTTTCTTTTAACCTGAATGAACTTTTAATTCCAATATGCAGTTATCTGAAAAACATTTAGATTATAAAAATCCAACAGTGAACATTAACATACCTTCACATTTGTCACAGATCACATTCTTCTGCAGAGCCAGTTTTCTTGTTGCACCATTATATAAGTCTTCCAAAGTTACTGACAACTGATGAACAACATTTTTACCTGTAAAGAGTAAAAAAGGTTTTACCTGACATGTCATTCACTTGGAACCAGATACTGTTTCTAATAATCTCAGACACTGTTGCACAGCTGTTTAGTTTGTAAATGTTTTACAGGAGTGAGTGTCCGTAATCTTACACCATACTCTGAACAGTTACATAGTCTACAGGAAACACTTCCACAGTAAATGGTCACTTTAGGTAGTATCACAGAAGCAGTCAAATTACCTCTCCTCTCTCTCTGCATTCTTCCGCCTCCTCCAAAGAACATATCAAAAATATCCATGGGTGACCCGAAACCACTGCCAGTACCACCCTCTTTAATAGCCTGTTCGCCACCTTTGTCGTACAAGTCCCTCTTCTTGGGATCAGAGAGTACTTCATAGGCCTGGGAAATCTGCTTGAACTGGAAGAGACAGGTCAGAACGCGCGTTAACACGGCGACTCGCCACCAGCCCCCAGCGGCCCGACACGAGCCCTGGCCGGAGGCTGGTACGTGCCCTGGAAACCCCCCCCCCCCGCCCCGGGAAAGTTACCCCCCCGCCGCGCCCCCACCCCCCCCGCCCCGGGAAAGTTACCCCCCCCCCGCCGCGGCCACTTGCCTTCTCGCCCTCGTTGGGGTTCTTGTCCGGGTGGTATTTCAGCGCCAGCTTGCGGTAGGCCTTCTTCAGCTCCTCCTGCGACGCGCCGGGCTTCACCCCCAGCACGTCGTAGTACGTGGTCTCCTTCACCATGGCGGGCGGCCTGCGGGAACCGAGCGTGAGCCCCCGGCACGCGGGCGCGGGGCCGGGGGGCGGCCCGGGAGGTGGGGGGGGAGGGGGGGGCCGGGGGCGCGGGGCCGGGGGAGGGGAGCGGCGGGGGCCGGGGGGCGCGGGGCCGGGGGGAGGGGAGCGGCGGGGGCCGGGGGCGCGGGGCCGGGGGGGAGGGGGGGCGGGGCCGGGGGAGGGCAGCGGCGGGGGCCGGGGGCGGGGGGGGGGCGGTGGGGGCGGGGGGGGCCCGGGGCGGGGGAGGGGGGGGGGGGCGGGGGGGGGGCGGGGGGGTGCGGGGGGGGGCGGCGGGGGGGGGGGAGGGGAGCGGCGGGGGCGGGGGGGGGGGGGGGGAGGGGGCGGCGGGGGCCGGGGGGCGGGGCGGGGGAGGGGAGCGGCCCGGGGCCGGGGGGAGGGCAGCGGCGGGGGCTGGGGGCGGTGCGGGGCCGGTGGGGCCCGGGGGCGGGATGGGAGCGGCGGCGGGCGGGGGGGGGGAGGGGGGTGCGGTGCAGCTGCCACTCACCGGCGGCGGGGCCTGGGGGCGGTGCGGCCCGGGAGGTGCGGGGCCGGGGGCGGTGGGGCCCGGGGGCGGGATGGGAGCGGCGGCGGGCGGGGGGGTGCGGTGCAGCTGCCACTCACCGGCGGCGGGGGCTGGGCGGGCTCCGGTCTCGGCTGCGCTCGCCGCGCCTGGCTGTTCTAGAAAGTTCTTTCCAAGCCGGTCTCTGCCGCAACGCATCCGGGGAGTTTTGTCGCTGGCGAAGCCTCGCCCCGGAAGTCCCGCCCCCTCGGTTGCCAGGACGAATCACCGACGGGAAAGGACCGCGGGGGCGGGGAGAGGAGACGCGAGCCAATCGCAGCCCGTGACCTCTCCTCGTCCCTCAGGGCCGGCCCGCGAGACTACAGCTCCCAGCATGCCGTGCGAGGCACGCGCCGGTGTCTGACGATGGCGACGAGAGGGTGATTGGCTGGCTCTGCCCCGGGGGGCGTTGAGGGGAGGGTGGGGGGAGGTTTGTAACCGGGGTGGGGGCTGGAGGGTGAGAAGGAGGAGGATCGGGGCCGTGTGAAGAGGGGGCCGGGGCCTAGTGGAGGGGGTGAGGAGAGGGGTCTGGGGGGGGTGAGGAGGGGGGGATGGGAAGGGTGAAGTGGGGGAGGAGAGGGGGGCTGGGGGGGGGGGGGGGGAGGGGGGATGGGTGAGGGGGGAGGAGGGAGGGGGGAGGAGAGGGGTGACGGGGTGGGGGGGGGAGGGGTGAAGTGGGGGAGGTGGGGAGGGGGCCTGGGAGAGGTGGGGAGGGGGGATGGGAAGGGTGAAGTGGGGGAGGAGAGGGGGGCTGGGGGGAGGTGAGGCGGGAGGGGGGGGATGGGTGAGGGGGGAGGAGGGAGGGGTGAGGGAGGGGTGGGGGGCGGGGAGGGGTGAAGTGGGGGAGGTGAGGAGGGGGCCTGGGAGAGGTGAGGAGGGGGGGATGGGAAGGGTGAAGTGGGGGAGGAGGGGGGCTGGGGAGGTGAGGAGGGAGGGGTGGGGAGAGGGGAGGGTGGGGGGAGGTGAGTAGGGGGGAGGAGAGGGGGGATGGGGGAGGGGTGAAGTGGGGGTGGGGGGTGAGGAGGGAGGAGAGGGGGGGATGGGAGGGGTGAAGAGAGTGAGGAGAGGGACAGCTGGTGAGAGGGGTTGGGGTATGTGAGGAGGGACTGGTTCTGTTTTAGTCCAAGGTGGATGTGTAATGTGCTGTGATTGAGGCCTGGCCTGTACACAGCTGCCTGATTCTGAGGCCTTGACCATATGGGACAGTTCTACCAATTTCTTCGGTGTGGTTCTATCGTTTAGGTTAAGCTGAATAGGAACACGTGTCCAAGCAGAGGTTTGCACTAGTTTAACTGCGTCACTAAGGGCACGTCTTCACTAGCAAGGTTAAAGTGCTGCTGCGGAAGTGCTTTAAGGTGGCTGTGTAGTTGCAGCACAAAACCACGTCCATGAGGGGAATAGCTACCAGCACTGGGAGCCCGGTGTACACTGGCACTTACTTACAGTGCTCAGGGGGGTGTCTTTACAGCAGTGCTGTAAAGTGCCAGTGTGGACAAGCCCGAGGTCTGTTTTAAAAAGAAATGCTCTAAATTGCTTACATTGGCAAGCTATAGCAGTGTAAGTTGAGGTGTGAATTTAAACTGATATAAACAAAAAGAAAAGGAGGACTTGTGGCACTTTAGAGACTAACCAGATTATTTGAGCATAAGCTTTCGTGAGCTACAGCTCACTTCATCGGAGCTCACGAAAGCTTATGCTCAAATAAATTGGTTAGTCTCTAAGGTGCCACAAGTCCTCCTTTTCTTTTTGCGAATACAGACTAACATGGCTGTTACTCTGAAACCTGATATAAACAGTTATCCTGTTATAACCTCTCCCACTGTTTGGACAGTATCATTCTGGTTTTTTTCAGTTTAGCTTAAATTTAATAAGTTAAACCAAAAAAGTTGTTCCTGTAAGTGTGTCCCCCGGTGGGTTTTACCAGTATAACTACAACAGTATAACTTGGAAGGAGCCCTGATGCTGCTGCCCTGTTCTGTGTGAGAGAAAATACCATTAACATTACAAGTGACCCATTGCACTCATGTTAGCTACATCTTCACTGCTAAAAGAAGTGGGGTTCTTAGGGATCAATGCTAGGCCCAATGCCATTCAATACTTTCAGTATTAATCTGGAAATAAATATAAAATCAATACTGATAAAATATGCAGATGACACAAAAATTGGCAAAGCAGTAAATAATTATAAGGGCAGGCCTGTCATACAGAGCCATCTGGCTCACTGGGTAAGCTGGGCCCATTCAAACAAAACACGTTTTAATGCAGCCAGATGCAAAGGTATACATCTAGGATCAAAGAATACCTGTCATCCCTATAGAATGGGGACCTATATTCCTGGAAAGCAATTTTTTGGAAAAGGAAGTAGGGGCTATATAGTAGACAAGCAACTGAATGTGAGATCTCCGTGTGATGTTGGGAATAGTGAATAGGAGTAAGGAAGTCATTTTTACTTCTGTATACAGCACTGGTGAGACCAATACTGGAATACTGCATCCAGGTCTGGTGTCCACATTTTAAAAAGGATGCTGAAAAACTGGAGAGGGTGCAGAAAAAAGCCAGAAAAAAAGCTTTGAGGTCTGGAGAAAATGTCTTATGGTGAGAGACATAAAGAGCTCAGGCTCTTTAATTTAATTATAAGAAGATAGAAAGGTGACTTTATTAGTGTATAAGTACCTTAATGGGGAGAAAATACCAGGTAATGAAGGACTCTAATCTAGCAGAGAGAGGCAGGAAGCTGACACCTGACTAATTAAAATTAGTATTAAGACACACATTTCAGTGAATGAGGGTGTTTAACTATTGGAACAAACCACCAATGGAAATGGTGAATTCTCCCTCTTTCGATGTCTGCAGATCAAGATTGTGGATGTCTTTCTGGAAGATATGCATTAGCCAAACACAAGTTAATGGTCTCAAGACTGCAGCAACAGGGTGAAATTTAATAGCCTATGCTATACAGGAGGTCAGACTAAATGTCGTTTATGGCCTTAGATGCTATGAATCTATGAAAGTGTTTTCACATTGAGATAGTTTTCTCACTGTACAATGCTAGTAGAGACAAAGCACAAGTAGCTTTTTCTCAACGTAGCTAGTGTTGAGGGCAACCTTATTAACACCCCTCTTTTCTCTCCTCCCCACCCCACCCCGGTTTACCTCAATTAGCTACATCGAGATGAAAACTACAGTGCCTTGTTTCCCCTCGGATTTTACATGGAGATAGCCACTGACTCTGAATCAGGCAGACTGGGTGTTGTCCACATACCCCACTTGAAGTGATACCCAGTGAGGAGGTACTGATCCCTTAACTTTTGCAGCCCCCCCTCCATCCCTGTCAGTATGATAAATAGGTAATATAGAGAGTAGAAATATCACCTACTGCTGTAAAATATAAACTAACATAACTTCTCTCTGCCCCAACTCTTTGGTCTAGTCAGCATATCATGGGGCTGAACAGAGCCCTTCTTTCATGCTTGTTACCTGAATGAAATTCCAATTGATGTTAATCAAAGTTCTGCATGAGTAGAGCATGCTGAATTAAGACCTTTACTCTATTTTGTAAAATGCAATAGTAAATGATTAAAACTAACAGTGATCTGCTTTGTATGTCACCAGATGAGCTGTACAAACAAAGTATTACTCAGCACTTTGCTGATCTCTCTTCCAGTTTTATATCTCTGACAGCAGTGCTGCATGTTATGTACCTTCCTTATAAGTTGAAAGCTATTGGAATAGACATTCTTCTAGCGCAGCGGTTCTCAAACTTTAGCAACCCGGGGACCCCCATTTTGATTTAAAAATTTTCAGGGACTCCCAAGCCCCCCAGCTCAGCCCCTGTCCTGCCCCCTTCCTGAGGCCATGCCCCCTGCTCACTCCATCACCCTTTCTCTGTCACTCGCTCTCCCCCACCCTCACTCACTTTCACCAGGTTGGGGCAGGGGGTTGAGGTGCAGGAGGGGGTACGGGATCTGGGAGGGAGTTTGGGTGCGGGATGAGGTTCGGCCTCTGGGCTGGGAGTTTGGTGTGGGAGGGGGTGCGGGCTCTGGGCTGGCAGTTTGGGTGCTGGAGGGTGTTCAGGGCTGGGGCAGGAGGGTGGGGTGTGGGGGGGGGGATGAGAGGTGCGGGCTCTGGGTAGGGGTGTGGGACAGGGTGAGAGGGGCAGTGGTTACCTCCTGGGGCTCCCAAAAGCAACAGGCACATCTCTGGCAGCAACTCCTAGGTGGGAGGCCACCCTGCTCTACCTGCAGCTCCCATTGGCTGCAGTTCCTGGCCAGTAGGGGCTGTGGAGTCGGCGGTCGGGCCAGGGGCAGCATACGGAGACCCTCTGCCCCTGGCCACAGGGATGTGCTGGCTGCTTCCGGGAGCGGTGTGGACAGTATCTGCTCCTCCCCCTCCTTCCCAGCGTCTCCTTCCTGCTGGGGTCCCCCGGCATGAAGGAGGCACTAGGAGGGAGAGGGAGGAGTTGATCAGTGGGGCCACAGACCCCTGGGGGTCTGCGGACCCCAGTTTGAGAAATGCTGTTCTAGTGCACCATCAGCTAGCAAGGTCTTCCTTGTCTCAGTCATTTTAAAACTGATGCTGATGAAGATTTTTGAGCTATTACCTTCCTACACATGAGAAATGTTTTGCCTTAATAAACTATTCGGTCATCTAATCTGACCTCCTACATGTCACAGGTCCTTAAATTTTACCCGGTTTCCTCTGTATTAAATGCAATAACTTGTGTTTGGCTAAAACGTATTTTCCAGATATAATATAGAATAGAGATTTGATCACAAGTCTGCAGTTAGTCAGTCTACGCTGACTGCTAATTTGGGGAGTCTGTTGCAGTTATGCAAGAGAGAACAATTTTCTATAATACTTGAGTTCATTTTTATTCATGAAAATTTTTGTCTTTACTCAGTATAGACCCTGAAGTATCATGAAGTACATCATGATGTCTGGATAATTAGAAAAAGGTTTCTAACTATCTGGGACATGCTCCCAATAGTAGTGGGGGCAAATAATGTAAGTAATTTTAAGAGGGAGCTTGATAACTTTGTAAATAGGATTATATGACAGGGTTGCTTGCGATTGCAGAGGACTGGATCCAGGGACTCGGAAGGTCACTTGCAGTCCTATGTTCTCAGAAATGAAAAGGTTGAGAACCCCTGATTTCGTGGGAATAGAACCCAGGAATTCCCAGTGTCCTGTCGTGGTCCCTA